TCAAGAGGTCTTTGACTGCTGCCAAGACGAACTTTGCTGGTTTTTCCTCTTTCTCCTTCTGAAAGTGGTACTTCAGAACAGAGCGAATGTGCGCAGTGGAGGTTGGACCAGCACATCGAGGATTGGACAGAATGACTCGCTGCAATTTCATCTTGGCATCCAAATCTGCAAGTCCTGGGGGCTTGACATCTGGCACTGCTTTGGGGCCTACCAAGGCTTGGACTTGCTTGGAGCGATAGAAGGCAAACCACAAGCACATTTGGCGACGCCAGATATGCAAGGCATGTCCCAAATCGAAGATGGTCATCTCAACGGCAAACTCATCTATGATCCTATCAAGGGCCAACGCGCTCGGGCCTCAGAATACTGCCTGCAACGCATGGCTGCATTAGCGTACCGAGCCACATCTGTGTCAGCATAGCGTAGCTTCTGTTAGATTGGTTCCTCTACATTCTCGTGATTCTCGTGATTCTCGTGAAAGAAGTCGGAGATTCCCTGCAAAGCCTTCCTGAGCACGGGCAAGGCGAACTTGTCAAAATAGTGGTCTTTGTCCTGGTTGCTTGCCACGCGCCCCATCCAACCAAAGAAGTCAATCAGGAACTCTTTGCTGGACTGGCTCTGCTGATCAGGGTCACTTGTCACTGGCCTTGTTTGCCACGTCGCATGGATTCTCTTGCAAAACATGCTTGCAGTCGGCTGGAGCACATACTCACAAAGCGACACCTGTCCATACACTTGGTGAACGAAGGTGTAATGAGTCAGCGCCGTGGCACCATCTCCAGTGACTGTCTTGTCATCTTCGCAGTTCAGCCAAGTGCACATCTTTTGTTTGTTGCCGTAACGCAGACCTGAGTGTCGGGTCTCCCTCCCGGATGTCATGGCATATTGTTGTGGCAATCTCCTCCGAAATGATGCCAGCTCGGGCATATTCTTTGATAGAAGCACGAAGACCCTTGATGGTGGCATCCGTGCATGTGGCGCCACCTGCCTTGATGACAGCAGGGACATCTGCATGGGAAAGAAGCTTTTTGCAGGTAAAATCCTTCAAATAACTCTTGCGCATGCTGGGGTCACCTGCGCAAACAATCTGGACTACGCAGCCACGTCGGTGCTCCTCATCAGGCTGCAATCGAAGCCGCGTGCCTGCATGGATGCTCCATCCAACCAATGTTGCTGAGGATCGGCGCCATGAATGTCTCAGGCTCACAACCTTCCTTGCGGGCAATGGTTCTCAAGCTGACTTTGAAAGGCACGGGCAGCACTTCTCGAGTTCTGAAGGCAAAGTCTGATGCCACAGCGTGGTGGTCCCTGGGGTCTTTCAAGGCTGCATTCAGAACGGTTTGATAAGAAGCCTCTGGGCTTCCAAGCCCTTGATATGTGCTCTTGGTGTGAAGCAACGAAAGGCTTTGTGCTTCATCCCTGCAAGCCAAGTACTCCGACATGGCGTCGTGCATAGGATCCTTCACCGTGGTAGATGCCTTGCTGGTCAGGTCGTCGTAGATGTCAATCCCAAAGCTTGGAATGGACAAGCGGGCTGCTTCACTTCCACCCTGTGTGAAGGGAGGGCTTTCTGGGCTTGGGGACCTTTGGGTGGGCGGCACTGGGCTGCGTTGTCCTGCTGGCGGGCTTGCGTTGGTTGCTATCTTCTTGCCCGCTGGGCCCCCACCCGCACGGACAGGCGAAGCTGCCTCTTCTCTGGTCTTTCTTTTTACCCCCTCAGCCACAGCCTCTGCTTCCATTGCTGCCTCAATCTCCATCTCTTGCAAAGCGGCATCATCAGCCTCTTCCTGGGAATCTTCATTCTGAAGACAGAATGGGCAGTCATGCATAGGGCAGCCCTGCTTTAATCGGTATTGCTGCAAGCTATCCGCGTGGCACACGTGCGAGCAAGAGTCTCGGCTCGGGGAGCACAAGTGTTTTTCCGCATCGTCTGCGAAACCATCTCCACAAACTTCACACGTGGCCATGTCTAGGAAGCTAACTCCTACAACTTGAACTTGATGGCGCGGCTTGGGTACCGGAGAGCACTTGTCAATGCGTGGTATCATGGTGATATTTGTCGGATTTGCCTTTGCAGTCCCAAGCGTGATATCGACTCCATGCAACCAAACTGGCTCTCATGCATGCTGCGCTGCGTGGACAGCCGGAACAATGTGAAAATGTTCACATGCCCTCCACATCTCTCAGTTTCAACACTTCTGTAGCGCGCAGCGAATTTTTTTAACCTCGCGACATGATCAAAAACTGCTTGGCCTAGTGTACAAAAGGACTGCTTTCTGGAAGTTTCTTGCGATTGAGAGCACAATATCGTCCGTGCCATTGAGACCCACAGGTCGCAGTGGACGAAGCCAGGGCGGCGCTAATCAGGTACGGATAATTTGCGGTCTGCGGCCTGCAGCGTCTGCAAACAAGATTCTTGCAACGCTTGAACCCGAGCCTCAGTCCAATGAAATCTTGATTTTGAAAACAACTCCCAAGCCCATAGCGGAATGTCTGGCGGCAAATTTTCAGGCGGACGTTCTTGATCAACTTGACTGTACAGGTGCCAGTATAGACAAGCAAGAGACGAACATTTTGCTCATCCAGCGCCCGCGGCAATGCAAGGTCAACTTCAACACCCGCAATGGGCTCTAATGCACCTGAACGCCAGCGTCTACATACGTTTGGTGGAGCATGCTGCGGGGAGATGACATCCTCCTCGTCACAGGAAACTATAACGAGCCCATCATCTCCGTGTAAATCACGCTTGTAGAGCAGGCGAATCCGCTGCACATCTGCCCGGCCGCTGCCATCTCCAGACCGCCTTGGAGGGTCAAATTCCAGAGCATCCAGCTGCAACCAGGTGTCAGCGCATTCAAAGCATACATTCTCTGTGAAGCCAAAGGCTGCAGCTAAGGTCACACCCTCCTGCCAAGGGAGCCACACACCAAACGGAGCCATGGATCGCACACCACAATAAAATTTGTCCAGCCAAATTCCATACCCAGCATCACCGGGGGAAGGCATCTTGCGGCGTCAGCAGAAAGGGCGCTGCGTTGCCATTAACATAGGGCTAGAGGCTTTAAAAGGGTGACTCTGATGCTGCTTGTGTGTGATTGTGTTGCATTAATAGATTCAATGACTCAATGATATACTGTCCTGACATTGCCCGGCTCCGAGAACACAGGTAGACAGAACTAATTCAGTCGCGGAATCCAAAAGGAACGGTTCTCATCTGCGCGTGGGGCCGCGTGATGGGTAATACCTGAAGCAGCTCGTTCGGCCAGGTGCGCCCGCAAACGCACTGGCACAACGGATCGCACCGAGTGATCAACTGTGCATGAAGTGGCCAAACCTAGCTCTGCATTGCCAGCCTGCCAGCGAGCTGCCAAAGCTGCATTCTCGCGCAAAGCTCTGCCTTGATCTCCTTGTGTTTCCCCCGGTTGCTTCTGGAACGGCAAGCCTAGGCATGCAAGGCTACATAAAAACAATCTGTTGCGGGTCTCTCTTTAAAGGATGGCAACATGTTACAAAAAATCATCGAGGCCAAGCCACTCGCTCCACGGCGATCATTCGCACAGTTGGCAATCTGGAAATGTAAGCCGACATCTTTGAGCTCACTCCATCTGCATGTGCGGGTCTCTGTGTATTTGGCTTTGAGGACGGTTCGTCCTTGAAAAGTTGCCTGCTTCAATGGAACCACATCAGCCAAAGGAATTTTTCTGCTTGTCCGTACACTCAGAATGAACACTGGCTGATCGTCCCGGAAAGCAAAGAGACCTCCTCTGGGCTGCAACTGTGTGACTTTGCCATCAGTGTTGTCAGCAGCTCCAACGTCCTTCCTGCTGCCACCCGTTGGGCAAGACTGCAACGGTCAGGTCCCCTCTGCGGGCTTGTGCTGGCCTGCAAGGCTTCTGATGCTGGTGCTTTTGCCAACTTCGGCTTTTGCAAAGAGCTGCGAAGAAGCAGCCGGCGACGCTTGGATGCTGTGAAGGAAACTTGAGCCGGACTGCCGGTGTTCCCAGCGTCAGAACGGCGCTTCCGCTTCTTGCTTTTCCAAGGCGGCTGCGTGAGCTTCTGGCGCTTGGCAGCGGGTCCCTCATCTTCTGCAGTTGGCCACAAGGAATCCCAGAGGCGGTTGCTTCCTTCAGCTTCCCTTGCATCTCTCCTTCTTTGACATGCCAGACAACTTGCTTCCCCTTTTCCCATCGAACTGGGGATCTGAACTCTATGGCAACAATCTCGGGGACCAACGGCAAGGAGGCACAGACCCATGGGTTTTCAACCTTGCTGGCTTGAATCACCTTCCCTAGGCACACCATCCCAACCACGCAACTTTTGGACAAAGAAGCTTCCTCTGGCGCATCCGGCCATGTCTGGCGCAAGGCGGCCGAACATTCGGGGGGCAAGCTGTTGATTGACTAACGGCCCACGTGAAAATAGTACCAGCCAGCTGCCATCCGCCTCTTCCGAGATTCTATGCGTTTGGAACCTCGCAGCATAGCTAAGGCAACCTGCGGCCCCTGAATGGTGAAGGCTCGCCGAGTCGCTTGCGCTTCGTCGGCCATGGCTTCAAAGGAGAGCTACAAGGTTGTAAATGACAATGATGATCTTGTTCACAGCATGAACACGTACATCTACATATCAGCTCAATGTCACGATGTCTACGTCAATCGCCCGGCTCGGAGAGCACAGGTTGACAATACTGGCGCAGGTGCCCAAATTTGAGCCCAACGGATGAAGATAGGCGCAAACAAGCAAATGCTACACCACACTGTAGTTAAAAAGCATGAAGTTCTCTGAGCATGCAGGGCAGCTGCAGCGGACAGTGCATCTGAGGGATTGAGAGGATGTCCCGACTATTTCGACCACTAGATTACCATTGCGCCCAGCTTCCCATCGCAAATTTTTACACCATAGCAGGCTGTTCCGCAGGCCTGTTTGTCTATACCATATGTCCAAGTTTGTGAAGATGTCTAATTTTGCCGCAGCTGCAGTAGCAACATTAATGGCCACTGCAACTAGAAAGTGGCAAACGCAGATTGCACTGCGGAGCTGTCCCCGCCTCCGTCCTGCGCTCCCCATGTAACAATGGATCCATTGTAGCGCACTGCTGCAAACTCTTTGGCAGACCCATGTATGAACTTGACATCCGTCAGCATTGGCAAAGAACCCGTTCAAAGAGGGTGTGACTTGCCGGACTTTCTCGTATCACAGAACTATCGCCCCCCAAGGTGGCCTTTCCCCAGGTGACAAGCGGCCCTTCCTCCGTGACAGCTGCAAATGCATAAGGGTTGCCCTGAACATTCACAATGCCTTGAAGTCGGTCTTGGACCATCGAGCTGTCTCCTCCATTACTAGGGTCTCCCCAAGCAACCACGGACCCATCCAACACAATGGCAGCGAATGCGAGACACGTATCAAAAAAAAAATATAAATGCATCAAAAAAAAATATCCAGCACGCATCAAAAAAAAATAAAAAATGCATCAAAAAAAATATCCAGATGCCACTGTGTGAGACCTCCTGAGTCTCGTGCTGCAAACCTAGATCAAAAAAAATATATCCGTATCAAAAAAAAAATATAGCAGCAGCAGCAGCAGCAGCAGCAGCAGGAGTAGTAGTAGTAGTAGTAGTAGTAGTAGTAATAGTAGTAGTAGTAGTAGTAGCAGTAGCAGTAGCAGTAGCAGTGGCAGTAGCAGTAGCAGTAGCAGTAGCAGCAGCAGCAGCAGTAGTAGTAGTTGTAGTAGCAGTAGTAGTAGTAGCAGTAGTAGTAGTAATAGTAGTAGTAATAATAGGAGTAGTAGTAGCAGCAGTAGCAGTAGCAGTAGCAGTAGCAGTGGCAGTAGCAGTAGCAGCAGCAGTAGTAGCAGCAGCAGCAATAGTGGTTGTAATGGTCGTAGTAGTAGTGGTAGTAGTGGTACTAGTAGTGGTACTAGTAGTAGTGGTAGTAGTAGTGGTAGTAGTAGTGGTAGTAGTAGTGGTAGTAGTAGTGGTAGTAGTGGTAGTAGTAGTAGTAGTAGTTGTAGTAGTAGTAGTAGTAGTAGATGTGGTTGTCGTCGTAAGAATAACAATAGTCGCAGGGGTAGCAGTAGCAGTAGCAGTAGAATGTAGGTGGGCCTTATCATCCACCTTCCTGGTTTTGTCACAAGCTGCGGGGGGTGGGCTTGACAATAAAAAGGCGGGAGGGGGGCGCGGGGGGAGGGCGCAGCGCCTCCCCCGCAAAGCGTCACATGAGTGGTGTCCACAGGATTACTCTATATCTCTCTTGAGCCTTGACAGCGTATATAAATATGGTCACTACTCATGCAGTACACATGAAGATTCAACTTAAAACAAAAAGTCGGGGGCAGCGCCTCCCCCCGCAAAGCGTCACATGAGTGGTGTCCACAGGATTACTCTATATCTCTCTTGAGCCTTGACAGCGTATATAAATATGGTCACTACTCATGCAGTACACACGAAGATTCAACTTAAAACAAAAAGTCGGGGGCAGCGCCTCCCCCCTCCTTCCCTCCCTCCCTCCCTCCCTCCGCTTCCTTCCTTCCTTCCCTCCGTCCTCCTTTCCTTCCTTCCTTTCCTCCTGTATGGTCATTTATTTTTTTTGATGCATTTATATTTTTTTTTGATGCATTTTTATTTTTTTTGATGCATTTTTATTTTTTTTTGATGCGTCTCCCAGCGAATGCAGTATGCGTGCTGTGAATCTGCGTCACTCCCTTCAATTTGGCTTGGACCCCAGGTGGCGACAGACCCATCATGACGAAGGGCGGCAAATGCGCCCTGGGCAGCTGCAGTCACGCTTCTCACATCATAGAGCTGCTGCCGTACCATTGCCCTGTCAGCAACCATCTTCGGCAAGCCCCAGGTAACAACAGATCCGTATGATGTCACTGCGGCAAAAGCGCGGCCGCTGGCAACGATCTGCACCACTTTGCGCAGGCGCATTATATATATATATAAATATATATATGCCAACTAGAATGCCAGTTGACCGGGGCCACTCGAGGAAAGTAATTTTGACTATTATCGTTTATCAGGTGGGAGCTCCAATTTGCGCAAAATGGGGCCTGTCAGTGTATATCGCGTGCCCCGCTTGCCCCCTTGCCCCGCTTGCCACGCTTGCCCCGCTTGCCCCACTTGCCCCGCTTGCCCCGCTTGCCCCGCTTGCCCCGCTTGCCCCGCTTGCCCCGTTTGCCCCGCTTGCCCAGCTTGCACTTGCTCTGCTTACCTCCGCAGCAAGTGCGTCGAGTGGGGGGAGTGGGGCGAGTCGGGCGAGTGGGGCGAGTCGGGCGAGTAGGGCGAGTGGGGCGAGTAGGGCGAGTGGGGTCGAGTAGGGCGAGTGGGGCGAGTGGCCAAAGTCAATTAATTTTCCTACCAAGGCAAGTGGGGCGAGTGGGGCGAGTGGCGGATTTCAATTAATTTGCTAGCCCAGGGCAAGTAGGGCGAGTGGGGCGAGTGGGGCGAGTGGCGGATTTCAATTAGTGTTCCTCGTGGGCGCCCGCAATGTGATGGTATCCCCCTTTTCCAAACACACTTGTGCCCGGTCCAATAAGCTTTGCCACCGCTTGGCTATGCCCAAAGCGCGCCGCCAAATGCAGCGGCCGCGTCTGGTCGCTGTCAACGGCTTCCAAGGCAAAGCCCCGCGAGAACAAGAACTGCAGGGCACTCTGGATTTCATGGGGAGCCCAAAGAAAACCAAGAAAAACCAGCAGAGATAGGGGAGATAGGGATATCATGGGGATTGTATGCAAAAAGTTGCCAAATTATAAAACAAAGCCTTGTATTGGGAGAAAAGGATATAATGGGAAGATAATGATGGGATTTGACCACTCATGATTTGGGGTCTCAAACAACAATTGGTAATCCAACATGTGCGGAACCAACAAGAGATTGATAAGACACAAACATCCCCTGACCTTGAGCTACTCTACTGACTGCGGTGGTATGTTGTGGTTTTGTTCTTGGAATTGCTTTTCAAACCCTTTTCGTATCATTGGCTTTATATATATATATTATATGTACGTAAGTATGAGCACCAAGAATGGAGCAGGATTGAGCACACAGAGTTGGAAATTCTCAGTATCCAAGTATTGGGTTCAATGCATGCTTTTTGCCACATACCTACGTGGCTTGTTGCTTGGCTATCAAGTAAAGGCGTCGTCGTTTTTTACTGCTTATTACAACATTCGGTTCTTGTGATTCTACAGCATTATCATTTTCACTCACCCCAGTTAATGATACACACATGCTGATTATTGATTATCTGTATTTGTTCATGAACCCAAGGCGTTGTCCTTTCATAATCAAACATGGCAATGGAACATTCCCCAACGATGATTTTTCCAGTTGTAAATCTCCAGTTCGGGGCTTTCCCAGCAAGCCACGTTTGCATTATATTCCCATGTATATACATCAAATCAAATCCCAATATATCCACATAAATCCATGTTTGTTGATGGTGAAATCCCTTCAATCCCTATTGAACCCATTTATATCACGTTTGAGACCAAGGGTAAGTCCTATAATTGTTTCATTGATCCTATTCATATCCCTTACCATTCCATTCATATTCCCGTTATATCCCTATGATACCACATGTTCTAACATCAATTCGCATTAATATCCTTTAAATCCCATTCATGTTCATTAAAGTTCATGAATATGCACTATTCCCATTCTACCCTCTGGTAACTAACATAATATGGAAAAATCACATGTTTTATGGGTAAATCAGCTATAAATGGGCTATTTTCACTAGCTATGTTAAATTACCAGAGAGTATTCCCATGAATATCTCAATATTATGTATATAGTTGGTGGTTTCAATCCCTCTGAAAAATATGAGTTCGTCAGATTGGATCATCATCCCAGTGATTGGGGAAAATGAAATTCCATGGTTCCAAACCACCAACCAGATAATACCATATTATTAATCCCATTATTAACCATCATTAGCCATCATTAACCATTATTCCAGATTATATTAATCATTAATATGCCATCCCATTAAATTCCACCAACCAGTTATATATGAACAATACCCAGCCTGGTCAACTAACATAACCATGGAAAATCACCATTTATATCCCAAGATTCTGAACAAATCAACCCTAGGATGCACGTCCCGCACCTGTAAGACCTCCACATGATTCCATTGTGCCGCCAGGTGTAGCGGCGTGCGCTTCTTCTCCATGAAGCTGGGCGGTTGTTGGAGGTTTGGTAAATGGTGAATAAGCCATACATGGGAACTAAATAGGAACTAAATGGCAACTAAATGGTAAATAGTAACTATGGCAAATGGTTCTCACATGGTAACTCAATGGGAACTAAATGGTAAATAGTAATGATCAAATTATGATAAATGCTGATCAATGGTAAAAATAGTATGGAGATGTATGGAGTATTTGTAATCCCAAAAGATAAATAGGGGGATGGCGCCAATACTTTCGTGGGTATGGAGCCTTTTTCTCGGGTTTGCTTGTTTACCAATTGTTGTTGTTTGAAACCCAAAATTATGAGTTGTCAAATTCCATCATTATCTTCCCATTGTATCCCTTTCTCCCAATACAAGGCTTTGTTTTATAATTTGGCAACTTTTTGCATACAATCCCCATGATATCCCTATCTCCCCTATCTCTGCTGGTTTTTCTTGGTTTTCTTTGGGCTCCCCATGAAATCCAGAGTGCCCTGCCATACAATCCCCCAAGACGATAGGACAAACCTGTTTCTGCGAAAAATTGGTTGAAGTTTTCGCCGAATCTTTTCCAGGCCCAACATGTTCATCCCAGTTTTTGGGCTGAATTTTTACGGTTTTGTTGACCAACAAATAGATGGAACAGGGATTACCCTCTGGTAATTTGTTACATAACTATGGAAAATCACCATAGAAATAGTGAGTTTTCCCATTAAACATGGTGATTTTCAATAGCTATGTTAGTTTACCAGAGGGTACAACCAACCAAATTGTTCCAATTTGAGATTTACAGATTAGACAAATACAAAACAAACAGGTTTTAAAGGCTAGGTATTCTGCCCAAAGAATGGAGACACATCATTTCAACCGAAAGGGCAGTTTGCTAAATGGATCCAAAATTGGATCCAAATCTCTGGAAGAACCTCAAATTTTTCCACGCACCTTTCCCAACTTTCCAAAATTGGATCCCACCTGGCATCGATCCCCAGAGCTTCTACAGCCCCAACGCTGCCGGACAACACGGCCAGGTCCAGAGCGCTGTGCTGCTTTTTGTCCAGCTCCTGGCGCCGGTGTTTTCTGAAAGGAACTCAGTGGAAACCACGCAGATTTTGCCATGCGATCTTGGCGCAGAGCTTTGTAAAGGATAAAGGATAATGCCTTATTATCAGGAAACGTCCTTTAAAATCTGGCAAAAGCGACATTTCAAAATTCGACACTTGCGTGTCGATTTCTGTTGAGGTCAACATCCTACGATGGTGTATCCTACGTAGAAGTGGAGAAGGATGGATCAACAAAAATCCATAAAAATCCATCAGAACCCTGTCAGATCTCAGTGTTTTTTAAAATTTCATACGGCCATACGGAAATGCTACGTCACTGGAGAGTTTGGTCGTCAAAAGCCCCAGCGTCCTGCAGAATCTCCTCCCGCCGATAGAAGGCCACTACGGCTTCGACCATCACCGGGTCACCTGCATGATGGATCCTGCTAGGTGATTAACATACCAAAATACCATGAGCTGTTTTGGATATTCTCGGAGTCAACTGTGATTGTTTCCATATCCAACTGGGGAGTCTTGGAGTCTCCTGATTTGCAAACATACCAACATACCATTTTGGAGACTCAAAGACTCCCCAGTCCGCCAAGCTGTGCCAACAGGTAACCTGACTCGGCAGCCCGGTGCAGTGGTAAGCGTCCCAGGAAGTCTCGGGCATGTAGCGGATCTCGGCCCATGTGCACCTGGCGGAAATTCCGAGACATGAGGATGGCCACTTCAGCAACCAATGGATCAACCAATATGAACCATGTTTTTGTGGATCAACTGCTGAGATTTTCATCTACTGTAATCCATTGCAACCCCCAAAAAGATAGAACATCATTGAAGTTTGGTGTTAGACCGAAACTTGGGTTTGGTGTTCCTAAAATCAATTTGCCATGATTTTCGTAGGATTTTACTTATCTATCTGTTTGGGTGCTGCAATAATAGTAAACCATGGGGATGTGAGCACTAAATAGGGATGCGACGACTATGGATGTAAACAGCAGCGCATCATAATGGCAGACCGTTTTTGAATCAACATAATTAAACAAAACATGTAAGTTGTAAATTGGAATACTGGTTGGTGGTTTCAACCAACCCCTCTGAAAAATGATGGAGTTCGTCAGTTGGGATGATGAAATTCCCCAAATATGGAAAGTCATAAAAAATCTATGGTTCCAGTCAGCACCAGAATAGAATACCCAAAGAAACCATATCATTGGATTGTTTTTAGTTGGGAAAATCACCGGAAACCCATGGGTTTTGGCCATCAGACCATCAGAAATATAGGGCTTAAACCGGTTCCAATTTTCCCATCATTCAATGGATTGGTTTAGGGGACATTTTACAGGAAAACCCTATATTTAATGGTAAAAACCATGGTTTCCTGTAAATTTTCCCAACTAAACCAATCCATTGAATCATCCCATGACCTATGACCATCGTCCCATAGATTTGCCGAGAGACCAAGGTCTGGAAGGTCTGAGGCTCGCTGTATCTGGCAGCCAGGTGAATCGCCTGTTGGGATCAATGCGAAGAGATGGAGAAACTATGGTTACAATACTATTAGAATACCAATAGTATTTTACAATAGGTATTTATAAATGATTGTATATAGAATTTTACAATCGTATTTCTATATACTTTTTACCAATCGTTTAATTTTTGGAAAAATATCTGTAAATAGGTAAATCCTCTATAGTATAGGTAATTATGGACCATCTTTCATAGGTAAATCATCTATAAAAATCATCTATAAATAGGTAAATCTATACATGGGCCATGGCTTCCGGTTCGCTAAGAAATTACGAAGGAGATGTCGAGAAGTCCTTGGTTTTTGATTTCAACCCACAGGAAGCTCTTGGGAATTCAATCTCCTGCCTCCTGCCCCAACTCGTCGACATGAACCGTCAACTGACTGGTCGCATGTTCAATCTGATTTTGAATGTCGTAGCGTTTCCTCGGGCGAACCGGCCGCGAGAAGCAGCTTGTGGTGAGAACACAGCTGCATGGAAATATGCTTCCAATAAACACTGTGGAGAAAACAGTACGTACACCCCTGTAAATTTCAACATCAAACCTGGAAAATAGATTAAGATTAAGTTTTGAATAAATTTGACCTTGGGATGTGGACATGTTGGGAATCCACGTTCTGTATGAGTTGTCCTGCAATAGGTATGCATCCATATGCTGCGTGACCGTGAATCTTTTGAAGTGACAAGCAAGAACCTGTGACAGAACGTGTTTCTGCATCTCAGTGGTCTAGTTGAGTAAACTCTCATGCTTGGACCCATTGTGTCCACTGCATTCGAAACCAGTGCCATCTCTTGAAGTAAGGCACTGGTAGCAGTCTGTTACGCCACGCAAGGAAGCCTCTTGCGCCTTCAGCTCTTGGATGTGTCGCAGCTTCCTGCGGGGGTCTGTAGGCTTGGGAAACCCAACTCACCCAGGGGAATTTCGTTAGGCACGCCAACACCAGTCGTTGGAGGTACCCTACCATTGGTTTCCCATTAAGCAACCATTTTTGCAGGATATTGGGGTCGCACACTCCAAGGCCCCTTTAACCAAAGAATTTGCAGAACGTCTCAAGATCCCCCATTATCACCATCCATCAATCATTAGTGGGAAAATCCAGGATTACCCTCTGGTAAACTAACATAACTATGGAAAATCACCATTTTTCATGGGAAAACTCACTATTTCTATGGCCATTTTCAATAGCTATGTTAAATTACCAGAGGGTATCCCTAAAATAGCCATAGAGCCCATTCAAAGCCCACGACCATCCCCGATAAAAAAACGCCGCGCCACGTTTCATCTTCCCGCAGAAGTTGCTTCAACTTCTCTCGGTCGCCCTGGATCACTGGCAAGTTGGATCTGCATTGCATTTGGCAAGTGCTTAATAAACCATAAGTGGGATATACCCTACATATAACTGGCTTATTTCATATGATTAACCACTTACCAGTTGCGATGCACCCCAGTTTTCGGTAAGTTGAATCGGTGGTGACTCTCCCAGTCTTAATGGGATGATTGACACTGATTGCTTGTCCCATTTCTAGCTGGTTAAAATATTCGTATCTTTTCCTCGTTGGTAATACTTTAATATCAAAAGAATCATTGCCCAAACGGAAACGAGGATTAGACATATTAAAACACCACTAAATGTGAAGCCGTCAACAATAAACCTACTCACATACGTCCCAAAATGGTCTGATCCTAAACCAAGAATTTTAGGTGTTCATAGGACAGGGATGGAATCAATAAGGATAAAACCAACACAACTGTTTGTATCCCATAAACATCGCAAAAACAATCAGGTTCTCTCTGCCAAAGATGGCAATGGAAAATCAGATCCTGATGATTATCCAATTAAATGCCCATTCGCAGGGATTTTCCAGCAATAATAAACAACCCCATACTTTGATGGTTTATAGCACCCATTTATGGTGAATTTGGGGATGGTGGTTCCTGCTTTGCAAAAATTCGCCATGTTTGAGGACACTACACCAACTCCGGCAGCTTTGCATCGCACCTCTTGTGCTGCCCGGTGGAAGGCACTGCGCATCTCTGGCGGCTGGTCTCGCTTGAAGCGGATCCTGGCTATGGGTTCAAACCCCCCTGGTGAATAGGACAATCGCAAGTGAATGTTCATCCTACATGCATCCTCCACAGAAGGTTAGTGTAGATGTTCTTCAAACATGGTATCATAAGTTTAGACCCATCCCCCATATGTTTTTTTTTAAACGGCGAACATGCGGATCTAAGCAGGCAAAGATCATCCAGATATGGCCGCATCAGAAGGGACCAACATGAATTTTATTCACAGCCGGAATTTGGCAATGAGGATATCTAACCATCAACAGTATCCTCAGTACACATTTCCATCTTTTTGGTGACAGCGGCACATATTGGTTTATCTGAACATGGGATACATCAAAATCAATTCTTTGTGATCATTTTCGCCATTTTTAGTTGCGTATTTTTTTTTTGCCCATCCCCCATGACACCCAAATATGATACAGTTCGTTGTGTATCCCATTGTATCATCATTCTTGTTAGATTATATGGTGGTAAAGCCAATAATAAACCTACAGTACCATTTATGGATGATAGTTGGCGGCCATTTCTGGTAGTAGAGGGTTTACGGTTTCGGGTTTACCACATTATATAGCCAATCCCCATGATTATCCATTGAATCCCATCGAAAATCGCATGAAGTCCCTACTAATTAACATTATATAAACCATTGATTATATAGCCATAAAATGACCATAGCCATTATTTAATCCCATGAAACATCCCCATTCTTCTCACCTCAACCCACCCGCGGGTTTTGCACCTGTGTCGCTTCTTAGGATCGTGCAACCAGTAAACTTCCCGCGAGGCCGACCGATGCCTGCGGAAAAACCCGGGTGTCACCAAAACTTTGGTTGGTTAGATAAGTACTTATCCTATTGATCCATATATTGTATTATATTGTAAGGTTTGGTTGGTTGTCCATAGTTATCCATACTTATCCAAAATCTTGTGCCCAATTCTGCTTCATTCATCCCTAATCACCAGCCAAAATGTCAAGCCAGGATACATACAGTAACACCTTGCTTTTTTTGTTAGTTCTGCGGGTATACCATTTAAACTTGGGATTATGGCGATTTTGGGGACCCCATAATCAATGAGCTGGAGGTTTATAGTGACAAATGCGCGGCCAGTCTCTGATCAGAGTACAAATTCCAATCTTTGTGAGTCACGGTTCTGATTTTTGAGTAGCTTGAGGCTGCAGCTAATTCTCTGACCAGTCTCAACATGTTGGCAATGGGAGGCGTCGAAAACTACCATTAGTTGGACCAATTCTCAACTTTGACCAACTATCATTGGTTGGAAAATTTCTGAACCTTGAACCACTGAAATCTCCAAACAGGTCTTGCTTTGGTGGTTTCAACCCCTCTGAAAAATATGAGTTCGTCAGTTGGGATGATGACATTCCCATATATTATGGAAAGTCATAAAATTCCATGTTTCCAAACCACCAAGCAGATAATCCCATTATTAATCCCATTATTAATCCCATTATTAACCATCGTCATGTTCCAAACCACCAAGCAGTATATATCTTTGGTGTAGATGGCCGTTTCTTTCCAGCCACACTTGGAGCAAGCGGAAGTTGAGGACCCAGTTCTTGGAGAATAAGGCATAACCAGCCTGGTTGTGCGGCCACAGAATTCAGATTACATGGCCATGGAAAAACATCTACAGCATATAACTACACACGCACATATATGTCACATAGAGAAATCGTCGATGCAACCAGAAATCCTGTTGATTGCAGACGAAGATGATGTAGTTCAAGATACCAAATGCAAAAGCTGAATCCGGAAAGCACACGTCGGGCAGCACTATTTTATGCGGGCACCTTGAGCCAAACATCGTTGGCCAAGTCTTGAGTTTTCATCCCGGACTTCAGGATAAAAGAACATGTTATCATTGAAAGATAACTTATTGATTCGTCTAGTCCGTGTTGACACCAAATGACATCATGTACACTTTACAGTCATTGGATACAACATCATAGATACTCATGCAAAGGTGAGGAGTTGGTCGAGTATTTTCTTCTCCCCCCTCTCGGAAGGGTACGAACTGCATCTACGTTCGTCATGTTGAGTGGCTCAATCATTGTAAAAATCTCTGAGACCACTCATCATTGTTTCGATGGCATTTGCCCCCCTGTCAAATACTTTTGATGTCATAGACAGTGGTCTCTCACTCTTCAATCTCTTCCACTTTCTCCTTCTATCGTCCTTTCGATGTTGCCTTCGGCGCTGAATAGCATCATAGGCTAATGGATGAACTGCAATGTAACTTACATCAACATCTGGTACTTGACACTCATCTGCAAGATCGCGCACCGGGGCGAGTTGTGAACCAGCGTCATGATCTTTATGTCCAGTGGTGTCAAAATTGTCCAAACATTCTACAGCAGTATCATGACATACGCAAGAAAACTGTCTCTCCAAGCATGATCCATAAAACACGGCTTTGGAGTCCAAATCGGCGCATGCAGCTGGCTGTTCAAGTTGAGTGCATTTAGGTTCATCCTTATGCACCTTTCCAGGCTCCAATGGACTGTCAATGGCAAAGATTGGAACGTTATTTTGGACCCCGTTGGCGTACCATCTGTTTTCAGAATGGCACCATACACGACATCGGCGATGATCAAGGGCAATGTACAGCTTTTGGCCGTGCTGCCACATGAATGTGCGTCCACGGCTGACTTGTCGACCTATCGATAAGGCCATGGGGCAGCTCTCAAGGATATGGATATGAAGATCACCCAGTTCCTTGGTGTACACACGCAATGCCTCAGTGGAGAATTGCGGCCCCCCTCCAGTTGTAAACCTCCCGGGGCTCTGCAGTGCTTTCATCCATGGCTCAACCATGTCTCTGCTCAAACCTTGGTCTTGCAGCGCCCTTAGACTTCTAATGTCATGGGCAGCACCAGTGTCCCCTAAGAACTCCAAGGGATACTTCTCAAAGTTCTGAGCTGCAGGATGAGCCATTGTAGCCGCTGTTGTTTCTCCAATCTGATCATAAGAATTTGTAATTGATGAAATCAATGTGGCAAGAATAGGAACCGACAACTTCAAGAACATGTTCAACGAAGGAAGGGCTTTGTCGCAGAATTGTCAAAATGACTGCCAAGCTTTCTGAACCTGCTTGCCCTCAACCTCAGTGATCGTCACAGTGGACGCCGCTGCAGCCACAGCTGCTGGGGCTGTCGAACCGCTCTTGGTGCCCTTGGTGTCCCCTTTTCTTCCCTTGCCTGGCTGTTTGCCAGAGTCTTTGAAAGACTCACCCCCTTTTGGGTTGTTTTTCAGGAACTCTGAGTAGGTTTTTCTAGCAGCGTCTGATCCAGGGTCACCTGTATGATGGTAACGGCATCGATCTCCAAATTTGCAAAGGCCTGCAGTATGCCGTGCACAGGGAGACTGCTTCGCGCCTTGAGTTGTTACCGGACCAGGGGTAACAGGTTGGGCAACCGCAGCAGTTTTCTTCTGCTTCGAAGTTCTAGTCTGAGTCTCTTCAGTAGCAGGCAAAGCCAACTGATGAGGGGGTGTTCCACGCAGTCCCTCGACAACATTCTCATAGTTCATGTCATGGCGTTTCTCTCTGAGCTCTTCTGCAATCTGAGTCCAAATCCAATCAAAAGACCTCTTCCTTGACGTCTGGCTAGACTCTCTGATCTGATGCCGTAACCATTCGAACATTGTCCTTGGGGATGGTCTATCTGCAGTTTTGAGACCATGCAACACGTAATTCACCTTTTTGACGAACTCCTCTAACTCTTTCATCCCCTTCCCTTCCAGTTGGAGATTTAAAAGATGCATTTGGCCCAACGCCACAGCCCTGTCCAAACTCGTTTCATAATACGACATTATGAGGTTGAGGAGCGGAGTGCCCTTAGGCCCCTCAGCCCTTGCTGCGCAGCCCTCCACCCAGCTGGTGATCTCGTGGGCGAGCGCCACATTGGCAGACAACACCTCGGGTTTGATCAATTCCGCCGCTATGTGTTTGTTCAGCATAACAAAGTCTTCTGATGTCTGCAAAGAGTTTCTAAAAGTTTGCCCTCTGCCCTCCATTGCATATGTGGCCCATTTGACAAGAACATCTGTTTTTGAAAGGTCAATCCTAGAAATTGACGCCAGGAATGCCGCTCGCCACTCTATGCATGAGGTCGCATCATTGGGCAATCTAGTGACTACCACTGACTTCAAATGCTTCAACTTGTAAACATCCTCTTCAGACTTTCTTTCTGGTAACCAACCATCTTTCGGAGGTTGAAAAGCTTTATCATCAATCAGTTCCTGCGAAGATGAAGAGCCATTTGATAATGAATCATTTTTGGGTGTATGTATTGCAAACTCGGCTGCGCCACGATTTGAAGGTACGTGTCCTCCCATGGCAGACTTCACATCATTCTGTCCAGTGCCATTGGCAGTGGGTATAATATGTCCACTTTGAATCTGTGGCCCGTCTTGCACAAGGTTGCAATAGTCTTCAACAGGAAAAACACTCGGAGCTCCACCGCTACCCTCTCCAGCTCCTCCCAAAAGCCTCCCTGATGCCAAGATCCCGGTTGGTGCAGCGATAGACGCGCTTCCAGGAGCAATGCCAGCAGCCGAATTCGCGATAGACGCGCTCGCAGCTCCAGCTCCTCGGAACCTGAACGACTCTGATGGGGACAAACTTGGAGGCAGACATGAAGTAGCACCAATGCGATCTCCCTGCAAGAGATTCTGGTCCGCGCCATTGTTGGCAACTACTGCACTGAACAGTGTAGAACATCTCCAGCATGATGGTCTTCCAACCATATTTTGTGAACCGCAACATGAAGAAAACATCACCTCTAAGGCTCTAAGGGGTTGATGCTGGCGACACTAGCTCCAGGTCCAACTGACATGATCTCGGTATGTTGTGCAGACTGTGTATGTGGAAGTGGATGATCAAAAGGGTTTCCAACACAAGGTGAACCACTAATTGAACCAGCCATGGATGCCACCCTTTCAGAATTCTTCAACTGCTGATGTGCGGCTTCCAACTTCGCTCCAAGCATCTGAAGCTCCTTCACAGCCCTGTCCCGATCCAATTCAGCTTGTCGGGCGACATAGGCCACCTGGCCTTCTGCAGCCTTCTGAACCTCATGAAGTTCTAGTTTCAATTGCCTGTTGCTCTCTGCCATCTGTGCAATGCGGACATCCGCTTGCTGTTGAATCTGCTCACACCATTGTTTGGCTTGTTCAGTGTTTTGTTGTTCTCTCATCTCAACTGTTTGCTTTTCATGCCGTAGTTGTTGCAATCTCTCCAAAACATGGTCTTGCAATGCCTTTTGGTCGTTTCTGGCCTGTTGTCTGATGTGCTCGACCTCTTTTCGTGCGGCCTCCCTCATCTGATGATAACTGTTTTCCACCCTTGCCCTCACCAGTGAATCCAGCAACTGCTCCAACTGTTCAGGGTCTACTTGATTGACCTGTTGCTGAAACAAATTCTGTTGAACATTCTGAATATTGTACTGATTCAAACTTGGTGGAATCTGTTGACCCGTAGATGCACTCCCACCCTGCTGTGCTGCTCCGCCTGCATTGGACGAAGATGACCTCTGCCCTCGCCTTGCCAGGGTAGTCATAGTGGCCACCTCCTGAGCGCCAGCTTGAGTCATAGTAGCTAATTGACCTACTGGGTTTTCAGGTGAATCAGATGATGAGGTCCAAGTTGAGTTCGGCCCATCAACCTTGAATGGAGTGGCTGTCACGTCGCGCTTCATCTTTTCCACCACGAAGAACTTATAGTGCAAGAGTTCCTATGCTTCAAATGCAGGAACACAGTGTCACGCGATACACGCGACAGTCCACCCAAAGCCACAATCTGCGATCCCAAATAGGCTGTAGCAAGATCACAAACTCGCTTCTGCTGTGCGACACGCGCTAAGCACGAAAGAAAGATTGCAAATGCCCTAGATGCAAAGCTCAATGCAGTGTAGTCTAGGAAGTTGATGATTTCACAGTTGTATTGATTAGAGCCGGATGCGGCTGATAACCAGAGAAATCGTCAACTAACCAGACATCCTGTTGATTACAGACGAAGGTGTTGATGATCAAGATACCAAATGCAATGCTGAATCCGGAAAGCACTGTCGGACGGGCATCTTGAGCCAAACATCGTTGGCCAAGTCTTGAGTTTTCATCCCGGACTTCAGGATAAAAGAACATGTTATCATTGAAAGATAACTTATTGATTCGTCTATTCCGTGTTGACACCAAATGACATCATGTACACTTTACAGTCATTGGATACAACATCATAGATACTCATGCAAAGGTGAGGAGTTGGTCGAGTATTTTCTTCTCATGTGTATGTAATGTATGTAATGTATGTAATGTATGTAATGCATGTAATGCATGTAATGTATGTATGTAAATCTACAGGTGTATATGCACGTATGCACTCACAAAAATACGCCAATGGCATATCTCATTTCCAGGCGAGTCGAGTGGCATTTTCAACATCACTAACATCAGCCAAGAAAATTGGACATTTACCATTCCCAATCTCCATTTGATGGATGACATCCCTTGTTTTTGTATACTGGTTGGTGGTTTCAATCCCTCTGAAAAATATGTAAGTCAGTTGGGCTGATGAAATTCCCAATATGGAAAGTCAAAAAAAATCCATGTTTCCAAACCACCAATCAGTCATTGTTGGGAACGTTTCCATTTTTCGCTCCATCTTCCGCTCGGAAGATAGGGCGGGTTCTTGTGCCTTCCGCAGGATTTCGAACAACGAACTCTGCACGGCCAGGGCAAACTGCGGAAGGCCCACCGCGTCGGAGACGGCGTCCACGATCATGCGCTTGTCCTGGTATGATGGGATCATCATATGGTGGTTTTAAGTAACATTATGTAAGCCATTCATTATATAGCCATAAAATGACCATAGCCATCTGATTGGCGGTGCAATAACCATCTTGAAAAATATGAAAGTCAATGGGAAGGATTATCCCATATATTATGGAAAATAAAAACATGTTCCAAACCACCAACCAGTTATAAGGGGGTTTCCATGGTGGTACCGCAAAATGGAGGCTTTATTGTGGTGTAAATTATGGGGGGGGAGATCATGGGGATACTATCAGAATGTCAAGTCACTATCATATTAAATGTTGTTAATAATGGGTTATTGTAATTGTATCATGATAGTTGTATAATATAACAATATGGTTTTGGCTACAATCATATACCACCATTATTGATGTATATTGATGTACATTGTTGTATCATCTATCTACAATGATAATGATAATATTATTCTTGTATATTGTTGTTATTTCTATCAATAATGGCTATTTTTCACTATTCTCACTATTTCCCATCAAATTTGGGGATTTTCCTGGCCAGCTTAGATTACCAAAAGGTAATCCCTTGCCACTATTATTGGAATGCATATTATTGGGGATGATTTTTTTCTACACTGACCATGTTACCCCACCTTGGCTTGGGACTAAAAGTTCAAAGGACCCAAAACGGGTGCCACTGGAGGCCGATGCAACACTCCCCAACTTTGCCAACCACCGACATTTGATTGCAAAACTTTCTTCTGCAAATGCGTGTCGAGCTACACCAACCTTCCACTTGAAAGGCGGGCACTTCGTCCGGTCAACTCGACCCTGTCGCGAACGCCAAAGGATACTGTACCAGCCATGCTGAGCCCAAGTCAACTGTGCAACTGCCATAGCAGTGTCACTTGGGATGTGGTCTGGCTCCACCTACTTCGCGCTCTTCTTCACCTCAGAAACTTCCAACTTCTGTAGCCATGGCACTGAGTAGACACTCACCTGGTCACCGTTGCTGAAGGTAAAGTTGTACTTGATCCCTGAAACCACTTGGGAAGAAACTTCCACTGGTTGCCCCATGCTGGCCAAATCGCTGTCCACCTGGGTGATGACCTTGTCCCACACGGCCAAATCTTCCGGGGTGGGCGATCGGCTCTGCGTCCATCCACCAGCTATAGGTGGAACCTTGGGATTGTCACGGGCCACCACCAAAGCTTGAGGAAGAATCACACTGGCCAGCAGCATGGAAACAAAGATCACATTTGCCTTTCGAACCATGGCGACGGGTGTTCGCGGTTAGGTTTCGGGGCGGTTTCGATAAACAGATCGGACCAAAAGATTGCTTGAGCCATGTGCGATTTCATTGTATTTCAGGAGCTGCCCACCATCCACAGCACTAGCCCTTCCAAGTTTGAATTCCCAACCTACCGCTCGAATAAAGCAAACTATTTTCTGGGAGCTTTCGGCCCTTTCATCCGGGCTGCTCCAAATTGAGGTAATTCTTTGAAATCATCATTTTTGGTGTGTCAATATCCAACTTTTCTGTTTCTTCAACCCCCATGTATCTTAATTTTATCAAGTTTTCGTGGTGAAACTCGGTGAAACTCTTTCTTCATCTGATCTCATGTTTGGCGTAAATCATGATCCAATCGGTGGCAAAACTCCCGATTTTCTGGCCATTTTGAATGTCACCCGCGGAGCCCGAGGTCCTCATCATTGCTGGCCGCGGCTTCCTCAGGTTGCAGCTGCAAGAGCCTCTCAGCTAAGGCCAACAAAGTCTGTGCCAAGCGTGGCCTCTCCTGTACGCGCCTCGAATCCGATGATGGGATATGGGGAGTAAAGTTTACCTCTAAAATGGGATGCATACTGGGATAAACCATATATATAATATTATATAAAATGGGATGTAGGTGATGTATAACCAAGTTGCTTAATGTTGGGAGATAGACCATGGGGATATCAGCCAAGTTGGTGATGAAAATAGCGGATAAACAGGGCATTTCATGGGATAACCAACTTGGTGCATGATACATTGGGTGGATGAAAACTGAGTTAATCTGAAGAAAATATTCCTACTATCATAGTTTTATTTGGGGATGGATGTAACAAGCAAGTCAGTGGGGCCAACTCCATCTGCATAGGTTGGAGGTAGCATGCCCGAGGAGAGTTTTTTTTCCCAGGATAAGCATGCCTTCATGCATGCGTCAATATCTTATCTGCATTTTTTGTAGCAATTTTCAATCATTTCATTCAGGGTTTTGTGACCTCACTAATCTTCGCTATTTTGAGTCCTTTTGCACCAATGGAAAAGGACATGTACAAAAGACACAGTACATAACAGTTAAAATTCAAACATATCATAGTTAGTCTTGGTTGATGCTCTATCTTCTACCTTTTCACCCTAAAATGATCCTAGCATGTTCTTTGTGCATTTTGTAGCACAAAAAGCTCCTGGAATGAGTTTGATGCATTTTCTGATCAGCCTCCCGCAACCCAGATTTATTTTGACTATGTTTGTAGAACTTGTCCGATTTGTTTCGGGTGAATGATCCATGAACAAGCCAAGGGCTGGTTCTAAAATTGGGCCAACACAGAGCAAGAAACCAGCTTCTGTTTGGGGGGATTGGATCTTCTGGTGTTTTCCGTGTTCTTGGGAGCTGAGCTCAAGATTTATCACTTCAATGTCTGACATCCTGAAGCATCCAAAAGAGCTCAAAGGGTTCAATGTGTTGAAAGGATAGCTGGTCGGTGCAGTACATGGAACCAGTTGTAACTCACAACAATTAGAAGCCATACTGTTCACAAACACACAAGCTGAACACGACATGTGAGCACTTAAATGAATTGACCCAAGCCTGTTGAGCAGTACAATGGGGTGACCCAACGGCATCTTCACCAAAAGATCGCAATCGAATGATGATACTCAGTCCTTATGACTACAAAAAAATGGAAAGAAAATACATCTATTTCATCATTTTCACCGCCCTTAGCAGCCCAATTGGTATTTCTGGATACCTGTCAGGAGCTTTAAGAAACGAATGCAGTGTATACAGTGTAGAGGGGTATATAATGCACAACCAAATGGCGGATTACCTTTTGGTTATCAAATGTGGCCAAGTGATTTAGTCTGTATGACACATGAGTCACCGAGAAGGTTGAACACGTGCCCCCAAGATTGAGATTCATTTGGATAAGCTTCCTTGCTGGAGAATAGTTATGGAGACCGGCTAATCTCGTTAATCAATGAGAGATAGGGGTTTTGAAGGGACCTATAACCATTTGGCCAAATGATTTGGGTGTGAATGTGACGAGTTTGAAAGCCTGGTTTGGTCGGGATGGTTGTGGTCTGATGATGCCACAGAACTTTTCGACACCGTCACAGGGCTCACACGATGATGCGTCTTCAGACACATGACCATGAGTCTTCGGACCCTGAAAATAGCTCCCACAGTCCGCTCTTGCTGTTTGGATTTGCCTGTACATAACTGGTCAGTGGTTTCAACCCCTCTGAAAAATATTAGTCAGTTGGGATGATTATTCCCAATATACGGGAAAAAACATGTTCCAAACCACCAACCAGTATAAGGTATCTCCACTTTCCGTGGTTTATCATCATTTTTGGCATCACAATGGCTGCATTTTTCGGGGCCCATCCCGCAGTGTCCAAGAAGCTCCCCCAGGAGCACACCGTCTTTGGTAGCCACATAAAATGGCAAGGAGAGGACCTTGGGTCTTTCAGGATGTGAGCCATGCGCAACATCGTGATACTAGGAAAACCACAGAGATCTTGCTGGCATCAGATCCAAGAACTAGATGGTTGTAAAACCGACGATTCTGAGTCTCTGAATACAATGCATATCAGAACTAATGACCATAGAAATTGCCTTCCGCAATGAATTTGGTTTCCGCGTTGCGACTCCAATTTTGCTTGAACTCTCCGAGTCTGGTCATTTGTCTCATGGCTAGCTGGGAAAGCCACTAGCTTTTAGAGGTAAACATAAAAATTACAATTTGATTTTGCATCAAACCAGGTTAGATTGGTGTGGTAAATTGAAGAGTCAGACCCCCTCTTCTTAAATCGCCCCATGATATCTATGAAAATAAAGAAACTGAGAACTTGGGTTGGCCGCATCAAAATCTTAAACATGTATCATGTATCCCTTATGGTTTTACCGAACTCATCATATTCTCAGAGGGTCACTGCCAGGACACAGAAGTTCGGAGAACCTCATAGATACACCAGATCCTCGTCAAGGGCATGGCTTGTTCGTCCATGACCATCACCTGATCGATGTGGGGTCCAAGGGTACCACATGGCAAACTTGGTGACGGGTGTAAGGCGCCGGGTAGTGGCGAAGGTTATCAAAATTGATTTTCAGAATGCATATGAACGAAATGGAGGTGAGAAATGCGTTTTACGAAATGTCTTTTTCTTTTGAAAAGACATAAGAAAGGACCTTCACTTCGCAATTCCTATGTGAATTATGTGTGGCTGTGGTTGTTGACCATTTTTCGGGTACTCTCAAAGTTAGGACTGCAATTTTTGCTCAGCGTCTTGCATGTTGCTTGAGAACGTGAAACAACACGTGGCATCAAAAGCGTCTTGCAAGTTACTGGAAAATAAGTTAAGAACATAGCATCACGAGCGTCTTGGAAGTTACTGACCAAGCAAAAAAACGTAGCATGAAGAGCATCTTGGAAGTTACTTGAGAAAGTGCAGCATGCAGCATCTTGAAGAGCATCTTGGCAATGAATTACTAAAGTTATGAGCGTAGCATCAAGCGCGTCTTGCAAATATCTTGGTGGACGTAGCATCAAGAGAGTCTTGGAAGTAGATTGAGACATTAAATAAGAACATAGCATCCAGACTGTGTTGGAAGTTACTTCAGAAAGTTCAGAGCCTAGCATGAAGAGAGTCTTGGAGCTGAATTACTTCAGAAAGTTACGAGTGTGGCATCAAGAGCGTCTTGCAAGTTACTTGAGAAAGTTAAGTGAAACACGTAGCATCAAGAGCATCTTGGAAGTTGCTTGACAAACGGAAGAGCTTGGCCTCAAGAGCGCCTTGGCAATGATTTCGCATCCTTAAGGCAAAATGATCCTATTATATACCCCTAACACACCCCCAAACTCATTTCACCAGGTGCCTTGTTGGCCGTTGCAAACTTGATCGGGTTTTGGGGTGCCCGATTGCCAAAATTGGGATGGGTCACAAAATTTTCCACTTCTTTTTCATGGTCAAACTCTGTGTTTTGAACTAGCTGACTTTACACGATCAGCCATTTTCTAGCCCCTATCTTAGCGGTGTTACCGCCTGTCATCCATTTACGGTTGGCTGACAGGGATTCCCTTAAATCCCCTACATCACGTTTTAATTGCTACCTATTACAACCCCCTAATGGTTAATAGATGATGGCACAATTTCAAATCAAATAAATAATCACCCATTGTATCCTAATAACATGGCTAGATCATATACCCTTATGAAACACCTCACTATATGACCCTAAGAATTATCATGGAACATCCCACTTCACGGCATTTTCAAACGAATCAAGTCTTCCCAAGAAGGCAATCCGTTCCCACCGCAGCCACGGCGCCACGGCTTTGCAGGTCCTGCTGGCGAGCGCGCGTTCGAAGGGCGACATCTCGAGGGAACTGCCCAAATTCACCGTCCACTGGGCGTTGGCGAAGGAACAAATCCAGAACCTGTGAGAGTGAGATCAGTCCCTTAGCTATTGGGAAAACATTTGATTTAAGTATCATGTAAGGGCATGTTCCAGGATTTTCCATGGGATTTAGCCATCATTTAAGTGGATTGAATGGGGAACCATGATTCACGGTGCTTTTCCGTGGGGCTTCGTCGCGATTACTCTCTGTCATCACTGACGTACGAGAATTGGATTTAACCAGCATGCTTTTTTGGGACATGTCAGGTTGAAAAAGGGGCTATAACACAGAAACATGGGGAATTTTTCAGCCCTGACAGGCTTAACAAGCAGGAAGGATGGGGATATTGAACAGCAAATGTAGGGATCTGGAGTGAAAACCTGCAACATTCCACAAGAAATAGGAGAGATGGTGGGATCTGTGGGTTGTAACTGGGTAAAACAATTGATATCAGTCGTGGGTTGTTTCACCAGCACAACTAGTGGTCTATGCCGTGGCCTTATCGCTGGCAAACTTGATGTTGGGATCATCATGATAGGCATTTTTGCGTGCTGAAACACCACCGCTATGTTTGCGGTATGTTTTACCTGACATCTCCAGGTTATTACTCCATCCCCCACACCACAATGATACAATGTCACACCCTGGTCTGGCTGCTGCAACAAGTCTGAAAGAGTCCAAACCCAACCCCGTGGCTATCAAGCCAAATCAACTGGACTTCCGCTTGGGTCTTTGCTATCAACTTCTTTCATTACTGCTGGTATTTCCATGAAACGTGGCAAACCATCGTCCGGGAAAGCAAATAACTTACCATTATCTTCCAACATCACATGGGTTTTCCATATGTTTCAGGGTTTCAGGCTTGCATCCAAGAAACACTAAGCTGGCAGCTTCCCGGTCTTTCCTGGACCCCCGGCATGATTGAACATATGGAATTCCACCAAGAGCAATCCATTTCCAGGGGACAAAACAATCTTCTAGCCATTACTCTAGACGTTGGGGGCATTGAAACACATCCTACAGGGACACATTAGTTCTGGAACAAACTTCAATTGATTATTGGCACAATGGCGACCGTGGATTGAAAGGAACTAGCTCTTACCAAGAAAACTCCTTCAATATTTCTAGTGTTTATACAGTTCACTTCCAAATAGGCACAGGCTACACAAAGCTAACGATAAGTCATTCAGAGTTGTCTATCTCTCTCTCTCTCTCTCTTTCTTTCTCTCTCTCTCTCTCTGATATCTCAAACACAAGTGATCCCTTTCTTCGGCCATCCAGAGCCCAGGACCATCTTTTTGGGGGGTGCCCTAAGGCTGTTCACCTGCTGCATGGCAAAACATTATTTCGAACGCCGTCAAGATGCAACTCATTCGCCACCAGCTCAATAGCCTTGCCGACAACTTTCCAAGAATCGTCATGTCAGCGCGGATCAATAAACCCTGGTTGCTTAGTAGGGGGGTTATCCCAAACGTGGTGCTCATGCCAGTCAAATAAAGGTATTCCCTATTTGGATCGCACAGGCTTTATCACAGAATGGTTGATACTGGATGCCTTTTTCACAGACGTGGCACTTCTTCTAAGGTTCCAAAGTTCAGTGGTGGCAAGCTCCTGTCCGGGGGAATACCTTGCAGCTAGGACACGGCGTGTTCCAATGCCTTTACGAACTCGGAGAATTCGTGGCCCCACCAATGCGACACGAAGACATCCACTGCCTTTTGGGTAAAGAGCTCAGCGTAGGAGCCTCCAGCAGCTCCAGCAGCTTTGCGCTCACAGTTTGCACACACTCATTGGAGATTTGATACAGGTGACCTAAATGTTGTGCATTCTTTTCTCTTTTCATGAGGATGACCAACTTTTGCTCCTGCCTTGGGTGTTTGCTGTGGCAGGCTTGATGATCATGGGCACCACGTCATACATCGTTGGTAATTGCACTTCCTGTCACGCTGGTGCTTCCGGTGCAAACCAGGATAGGATGGTTGGTTTGTGGCTCGCTTGTTCGGTTGGTGCATGAAAAGCTCTCCGAGTTGGGCCCAACTTTTTGTAAGAAACTTTCCAACAAAACATCACGGATTTGGGATTCTCTGCTTTTTGCGGCATAGCCACCTTGATGGCTAGGTGAAAGAAACAGATGGTCTATTTTTCGGGGTAGGCGATCTGAGTCCGGCTAGATAACATGAACAAATTACACCGTCTGGTGGTTAAAGAAGCGGGTTTCCCCATCTTACCCTAGTCACATTTTTGCAGTTGAACAGGTATGTTTTCATTGTATCTGTCCCCATCATGGAACTGTTGCTCTCTTCTGTTCATTCTCGGTGGTGGATGTGGTCATTCCCAGGGTTTCGGCCCTGCAGCCATGCCTGGCGAAGGGGTTCCACTTGGGCGAATCGAGCCACTCTTGGTGATCCGTGTAGACCTTCTGGAGCTGCTCCAGCCTCGGGCTGGACATGCCCAGTAAGGGGACTAGGATGTTGATTTGGAGATTTGGTACCCTCGCTATGGAACATGGCCCAGTTATAATTGATTTACCTATTAAAAGTTGTATAATTTTGCCATAGCAAACTGTTAGTTCACCAGAGGGTAACATTCTTCCTTTCCCAGAACTGATGCTCTTGCTGCATCCCATCACTGCAATTGACCAAGCGGCGTGATGCCAGCGATCTCTGGTGGTCGCATTCCGTGCGGATAGCGCCTGGGACGGAACACCATGGTCTGGAACCTCTGATCTAGGAGCACCCACTCTATTAAAACCTAGTCTTTGTATCTCATGAATCACAGAGTCTCTATCTGAGTGTTCGTCAACATTCGACAAGAAAACATCAAACATAGTGAACATGGTCTCATCTATGAGGCCCATGGGTACTTTGACAGATGGCAATGTTTGACCTACAGCATCCTGCAACCTGGGATAGCTATAGTCATGGTGCCCTCTTCCAATTGGGTTTCTATTTCCAATCAAGTCTTACTTCATCCCTATAAATCCAATCATTTCGGCAGCTATCTCGCCACAAAAAAGTTCTAATCGCTTGTGAAATTCCATATTTGATGAAGCCCCAAAGAACTAGCGACCAACAGGGGTTGAGCCGGTCTGGCTGCAAGGCACATCACCTTTTCACGTGGCACAGAACCATTCTGATGCCGAAGGCTATAGGTACCTCGTCGCGTCGTCGTGCCGAACAACATGGCCCTGCAAGCTTGGATCCATGCAAACCCTGCAACGACACTCAATTGATGAGTTTTGGCAAAGAAAGAATGTCACTGGAAAATAAACCATGTCTTTCCTTTTTCTTACATATGATTGGGAAACTCTTAGTAGCCCCTTGGCTATAGTAATTTGACTGCCAATGGCTCTGAATACCTACTATCCAAGCACCAATTACCAACATGGCCAACCCGGTATACCCCAAGGATTGGCACCGAAAGAGGCTGTGGGGGTGCGCAACTCGTGAAAAAATCCACAATGAATAGAACTAGAACTGGGTACGGGTCAAAATTGCTCACCCCGAAATTTTACAGTTTACTGCCGACAATGACCTTTCAACCCATCCAGGGATATCCACGTCTATTGATGGCTAAACGCCTTAATTTCACATTGGTCGTTGACCAAATTCCACATTGGTTGGCTAAAACCCCCATAGTTGTAGCTTGTATAAATATTTATAACCCGCATCCCCATCACTCCATCCAAGCTGCCATCAGGGTTAACTTTCTGGAATCGAACCTCCGTGGGGCCAAAATGTAAAAACCAGAAAGTCCAGTGTGCCAGTCAAACTAGTTGCAATCTGCAAGCATCCGTAGTGGTAGATTCCACGCAAACAGGACCACGAAAAGCACATGAATCACATCCATATCATCAATATGGTGGGATCTATTGTAGATCACCTTATGTAGTACCATCCTAACATGTATGCCAACAGTGTTTAACATTTAACATAGACCCGGGCAAGCCGGCGGCGGAAGTTTCCCAAAAATAAATGACCTATAGTTCAAAGACACCCTGTCCCGACCGTGTCCTTCCCTCGACAACCGTTTGATTTTTTCAGCGAGAGACGAAGCAAAGTCTTCACACTCCACACTCCACACTTCACACTGCACTCTTCGCACTCCAAACTTCAAAAACTTCCACACTTCACACTGCACTCTTCGCACTCCAAACTTCAAACTTCACACTCCACACTTCACACTTCACACCGCACTCTTCGCACTCCAAACTTGAAACTTCACACTCCACACTTCGCACTTCACAGTCCACACTTCACACTTCTCACTTCCCACTGCTTCCTTCACACTCCAAACCTCACACTTCACACTTCACACTGCGCGCTTCGCACTCCAAACTTAAACTTCACACTCCACACTTCTCACTTCCCACTGCTTCCTTCACACTTCACACTTCACACTGCACTCTTCACGCCCCACACTTCACACTGCTCTAAACCTACGTGCAACAAAAAAACACTAGCGCCAAAATGGAGCAAATCTGCTAACAAATACATTTCGTAACCTTCATGCAGCCACTCCAAGACGATGTACGAGATCCAGCTGCAAAAGACATTACGCATGCAGCCAAAGCAAGAAGCAACCTTGACGCAGCCATTACAATGCGATCTGCGGAGACTGAGTTGCAAAACACAAGAGAACTACGCGCAATGGCATCGGAAATTGTAGCTCAAAAACCGGATCTCGACGCCTGAGCGAAAAAAAGACGATTTTGAAGCACTTTTTAAAAGGATTTTTAGAAGGAAAGTCACTAGCGCCAAAATGGAGCAAATCTGCTAACAAATACATTTCGTAACCTTCATGCAGCCACTCCAAGACGATGTACGAGATCCAGCTGCAAAAGACATTACGCATGCAGCCAAAGCAAGAAGCAACCTTGACGCAGCCATTCCAATGCGATCTGCGGAGACTGAGTTGCAAAACACAAGAGAACTACGCGCAATGGCATCGGAAATTGTAGCTCAAAAACCGGATCTCGACGCCTGAGCGAAAAAAAGACGATTTTGAAGCACTTTTTAAAAGGATTTTTAGAAGGAAAATCACTAGCGCCAAAATGGAGAAAATCTGCTGACAAATCACTGTCGCAGCCTTCATGCAGCCACTCCAATAGGATTTACGAGATCCAGCTGCAAAAGACAATAGTATTACCAATGCAGCCACAGCACGAAGCAACCTTGACGCAGCCATTACAATGCGATCTGCAGAGACTGAGTTGCAAAACACAATAGAACTACGCGCAACGGCGTCGGAAATTGTAGCTCCAAAACCGGATCTCGACGCCAGAGCAGAAAAAGTTGATTTTTGAAGCGTTTTTTATAAAGAATTGAAATAGAAAATGAAAGCGGGCAAAATCTGAAAGAATCCAGCTGCAGCAAGTTCACGCAGCCATTACAATGCGATTAGCAACAATCTCTAGCAAAACACAATGGTATTACGTCCTCAGCTCGTCCACCGAAGCATGTGAAACCTTCTAGACATTGCGGGAACGATCCTACAGTTGCAAAGCACAATGGAATTCCATCGGCAACTCCTTCAGCAGCACCACTTGCAATGCCATTTGCATTGCGGGAACGATCCTACAGTTGCAAATCACAATGGAATTCCATCTGCAACTCATCCACCAGCACCACTTGCAATTCCATCTACATTGCGGGAACGATCCTACAGTTGCAAATCACAATGGAATTCTGTCGACCACACATGCACGAAAAGCAGTTGAAACCCCATTTACAATGCGGAACCGATCCGAGAATGATCCGAGAATAATCCGAACATATCCGACCACACACGAGACCGTCTCGCAACCGTCGCACCGCAGAGGTAGATCATCGAGGTTCGGGGACGGACTTTGTATGGAAAAACATAGGCTCTCGTGCATCTGCTATCTCTCAAAAACGCATTTCGTGCGAGACTTCCTTCAAAACTCCATCGGCAACTCCTCCACCAGCACCACTTGCAATCCCATTTACAGTGAGGGAGCGATCCTAGAGTTGCAAATCACAATGGAATTCCATCGGCAACTCATCCACCAGCACCACTTGCAACCCCATTTTTATTGCGGGAACGATCCTTCAGTTGCAAATCACAATGGAATTCTGTCGACCACACATGCACGAAAAACAGTTGAAACCCCATTTACAATGCGGAACCGATCCGAGACCGATCCGAGAATATCCGAGCATGATCCGACCACACACGAGACCGTCTCGCACCCGTCGCACCGCAGAGATAGATCATCGACGTTCGGGTACGGACTTTGTATGGAAAAACATAGGGTTTCGTGCATCTGCTATCTCTCAAAAACGCATTTCGTGCGAGACTTCCTTCAAAACTCCATCGGCAACTCATCCACCAGCACCACTTGCAATGCCATTTGCATTGCGGGAACGATCCTACAGTTGCAAATCACAATGAAATCTGTCACCACACATGCACGAACAGGTGAAACCCCATTTACAATGCGGAACCGATCCGAGAATGATCCGCCCATGATCCGAGCATGATCCGACCACACACGAGACCGTCTCGCACCCGTCGCACCGCAGAGGTAGATCATCGAGGTTCGGGACGGACTTTGTATGGAAAAACATAGGGTTTCGTGCATCTGCTATCTCTCAAAAACGCATTTCGTGCGAGACTTCCTTCAAAACTCCATCGGCAACTCCTCCACCAGCACCACTTGCAATCCCATTTACAGTGAGGGAACGATCCTAGAGTTGCAACTCACAATGGAATTCCATCAGCAACTCATCCACCAGCACCACTGGCAACCCCATTTACAATGCATGAACGATCCTACAATTACAAATCACAATGGAATTCTGTCGACCACACATGCACGAAAAACAGTTGAAACCCCATTTACAATGCGGAACCGATCCGACCATGATCCGAGAATATCCGAGAATGATCCGACCACACACGAGACAGTCTCGCACCCGTCGCACCGCAGAGGTAGATCATCGACGTTCGGGGACGGACTTTGTATGGAAAAACATAGGGTTTCGTGCATCTGCTATCTCTCAAAAACGCATTTCGTGCGAGACTCCCTCCAAAACTCCATCGGCAACTCCTCCACCAGCACCACTTGCAATGCCATTTACA